ATATTTAATAACTATTATAACTATAAATGGCAACAGACCATGTTAAGAGCAATAAACATGCCCTGAATGCCATAAACACAAATTGCACAAAATGTTAACAACTTCTTTGTCCATAAGGGTTAGTCAACTATATAAGGAAACATCACAATAGAAGTGAACCATATTTCTTGTGGACACAGCAACTTCATGCATTATCACCTTACAAGGTCATTTTCATTCAAGTAATTCATGTATTATAGTCTTCTGTAAGAAATGCTAGCTATATTTGTATCACAATCATTTTAAGCAGATAATAAACTATGTTAGCAAAAGTCAAAACACATAATAAAGTTTCTGGTTTCATTGATCCAGTAGTGCTATGGATTATTGGAAATTCATTAAATATTTTGCTTCTTATGCTTTAGAGACAGGCTATTAATATTATTCATGGAATACTTTTCAATAATCCACTTTTTTTGGGGGGGGGGGAGCCCCTGATAATTAATATATAATTCTTGGAAATCACATCCATACCTGTTTACAATATTCTTTGCCCAAAAGTACTCAATTGTCTTAAGATACTTTGATTTCCAGCTTGATATTTCTAGAATTATTGCCTAACTTGACAGAACTTTAATTAATTAAAAATATAAAATACATACAATAAATATTAATAATATAAGCTGAATTTATTATTTTTTAATGAACACTGACACACATAGGTGCTTTAAGTATAAGCATCTTGGTATTCGATACATGAATTTTCTGACCCATACTTCTTGTTGCCTCATATTATGTATCTCATATTTTCTGCTAGTAAATTGAAGTATTCTTTATTAATTTATCCATAAGCACACTAAAAAATAATACAGAAGCAAAAAAAATTCTTAATTTACTGTTTGCTCAGTGTTGAACCATTTTCTAAGTATTTCTTTCATACTCATAGGTTTTTTTAATCCATTATACTTATTGCATTCAGCAGTCAATCTTCAATTCCCTATTGGTGCAAGCCACTAATAATTTAAACCTAGTTTTTCATACATTTTCTAAAATAAATCAAATCTACAATAAGCTTTCTTTCATTGATTCATACATTTCTCAGGGACCAGCTGAAGAATAAAAATCTGTTGGAAAACATGTTGAGCCCAGTCATTGTCCTCTGGCCATAATAAAACCCTTCTAAATTTTACACATTGATACTCTTAATAATCCTATTTCACTATCTTTTCAGGCATTTTTAACAAATTAACTATGCTGTGTTTGCATTCAATGTTGTTTATTTTCCTTTTTATAAAGGCACATTTCCCGTATTTTAATATTTGTTCCGTTATCTATATTTGAAGTTGTGGGGTAGAAAAAGGACAGTTGTTCCTCCTCCTCCTCCTCCTCCTCCTCCTCCTCTTCCTTCTACACTCTGGACTGGTATAAAATGGGCTGAACAACTTTCAGAATCTAAATTGGCTCTCAAACTAATTAGATGATCGTTCCATAGTCCTATTATTTAGTTGTTTTCATTAGTATTTCTGGATCTATAGGATGAGAAGATTTCCCAAATCTCAACCATGTGTTGGTCCACAGGAAAGAACATTTAGGCCAGTTTAGGCCCATTTAGGCCTGAAATTATAATCTCTGTCCATTAAGGGACAATAGGTTTTTTTTTTCCCCACCATAGAAAAATGCAAAGAAATATAGCAATGAGACTTCTCTCCCCCCAAACTTCTTGGTCATTCAGAGAAACAAGAAGGCTTAAAAGGATTATAATAAAACATTAATGAGGTTTTGTGACAAGAAGAATAATGTATTTTAATTTCTCATCCATACAATTCTTTTGTTAAAAAAAGCATTGTCCATAATGTTTCACTGTTTAAAATATGTAAGCTGCACCTTATTTATGGTTTCTTGGTTCTTTTTTATTTTCCTTCCAAAAGATCTTCAATGATTTTTAAAAATGTAACAAAGTTCATAAGCCTTTTCCCCATTTTTCATCCTAACAGAAGCTTAATGGTTCTTATGATAGAAAACTTTTTAAATCCATTTGTACCTGATCATTTGCTAATCACTTAATTTCTCACATACTTTATGAGAAAGACATGAGAAATGTGTTCCAATTATTGCATTTTCTTTTGTTAATAGTTGGTGGTTTCGCTAAGAATAAATTACTTTTTGAAAAGTAGATGTGATTTGGTGGAGGGGGAGATAAACTTCCAAAGTAGCAAAGTATGAAATATAAACTCATTTTAATAACATGCTTCAGCTGTTCTGTTTGCAAGCTTCTACAGTGGAATTATTCTTGTAAACTTTGTTTTGTTCAAATTTTAATAATTTATTTAATGTAATGCAATAAGCCTATAATTTCCAAAAAAAAACCTGATATCATGACTAGATTACAATGAACAGCATTATTTGGACACATTTGATCCTTTATATGTAAAACCAGAAGAACTTTAAACATTTTTACTGGGTGACTAGACCCTTAGGGCATATGGTTATGTACTTTTGCATCTTGAAAGTTCTTGCTGATGAGATTGTCCTTATGCCTCACCTTTATACAAATGGAATTTAAGCAGGCAGTCACTTGCTTTTCAACACATAGATGAAATTAGAAACACCAGATGTTTTGTCTTAATTGGGGTGTGGTCAATTTTTAGGTGCATCCTAACACTAGAATATAGCCACTAAAAGTAATAAAGCACTTTCCAATTTCACATCTGCTGTGTTTAAGATGCCAAACATTTCTGTATCAAACTCCAAAGTTGGGAAGGCATTTTCGTGAGGCTTTTATTCTATAAAGCATGCAACTCAAAAACGTTGCTTAAAGAGTTGATTTAAAAGCAATTCTAAAAGGAAGGTAATATGATATTGATTGTTTTTTTTAAAATCAATTCATATACTGAATAAGAAATGCTATGCTTACAAATTGTTCAAACTTTCTTGAAAGAGGAACATTGCCAACATTACTATGAAAACTGAATAATGCTTGAACTACAAAGTTTATGTGAAATAGCGTCTTGGCACTGTTGGAAGCTCTGGTTTGCATACTGCCCAACTATTATTTCTTTAAACATGGTTTATTAAATAAATTACAGGTGTTTGCATTTATTAAACAGACTTAGCCACAAGTTGTAAGTTATGGTGGCTAGGTTCATAAAATATGCTAAGCAAAACCCAATAGTCATTATTTTGTCCACTTGTGGGATGTATTTATTGAACACTTGGATCAACAATTATCATTTTACTTTTTCACTTCTACTCTCCTTTATTTTACCCCTAATGAAATGCTTCTTCAAGATTGCTAAAAAGAGACTGCCCCTATTCTTTGTGATCTTTGGGGGTGGGTGGGAAATCAAATACAGTGATTTTAGCAATGTGGGAATGTTAAATGTATTGTGCTAGGCAGGTTTGCATGTTGTACGTCATGGATACAATGCCAACCTGTAGACTTTTAATTCCTCATAATTTTTATCCTACCTTTTCATTAAAAAAATAAGGAAAAAAAAATCAAACCACACATTAACATTGTCAAAGACAGTTGAGAAATTCCCAGGAAGAGCTGCATGTGGGCATGCATAGACCAGCTGGATGCTAAATTAATTGAAGATTTCACTGGGCTCATTTAGAGGCCCTCAAAGGGGCTCTCCCAGTAAGCAGAGATACAAAGCTTTTTGTTCTTCAATATGTTCTGGGATTCTGGGTATGAATTCTAATCACCATTTCCACATAATTAAGAGCTTAACACACCTTCTTCAGCTTGCTGAATGTCTCCTTTCACCTTCTACCTTTATGTTTTTCATGCAATTCTGGTCTCTTTTCCTGAGCAGAAATGTGCAACTACCTTACAAATCCTCTGAAACAACCATTTCTTTTGTGAAATATTCCCTATTCACTAGTTTAGTTTTTGAACTATATCTCAATACCTAATGTTCTCATTTCTCCCTTTAAACCTGTCCTCTTTCACTTTCATTCTAGACTTTTACAATAGCTATATGCAGAGCTTAATATTATTATATTTCTTTATATTGCATATACATTACCAAGGTTTAGCAATATTTCAGTTCATATATTTGAGAGGAATGGAAGTTAACCATAGATTTTCCAGGGCAAAAATGGCTTAGTCCATGTCATGCATATAAGGTAGAAAGAGATGTGATGAGATTTCTCCTCTTTTCCCATTGGCATTTTCTAGTGGTGGTGGGAATAATGCCACTAATCTTTGGTAACCTGATCTAAGGTCCTTTGAGGTCTCATCCAAGATAGTGGTGGTAGTGGTGATGAATCTCAGGCTACCCACCTTCCACAAATTGCAGGTTCCAGATCAGAAATTTTCATATTATTGCATTAATTAATTAACTGATTATTGTTTTTGTGACATTCTAACTTAGGGACTAGAGAGCCAGTTTGGTGTCATAATTAAGTTATCAGGCTAGAAACCAGGAGACTGTGAACTATAGTCCTGCCTTAGGCACAAAGCCAGTCCCAGAAAGGAAATAATGATTAAAACAAAAACTCCTGAAAAACCTTGCCAAGAAAACTGCATGCTACAGGCAGTCACCATAAGTCAAAAATTGATTTGAAGACACAAATAAGTAATATCTATCTAATATCACCCATTTAAAGATGGAATTAAAAAGATAAAGACACCTACAACCTGTTTGTTCAGGAAAGTGGTACACAAATGACCATCAGTAAAATCAAGAAAGCATAGAAACATTTCAGTGCAGCTAAAGAAAAACAATGTACTTCTGATAACTGGAAGATGGTCTACAGAATAACTTTTTTAAAATAAATTTTTATTCAGTTTTCCACATATTAAAAACATATTTTTTCAGTGAACAGCATGATTCCAGGTTATCACATTTCTATACAAACATGACTTTAGTTTCATACTCATCTTTCACATTTAAATTCATATCTTACTATTACTTTTCATATTTTCTATCATTTTTATTATATACTTTCCTCCATATATTTTTTTCAATTCATTACTTGATCTATTTTCTTAAACTTTGAGTAACTCTCATATTTTCATATTCATTATACTTTATGGTTTTCTCTGTCAGGTTTGCAATTTCATCGCATATATTTAATTCATCATTCCAAAAGTTCAATCTCAATTCAAACATTTCAAAAAATTTTCCCCTAGTATCAATTTGAGTGTGCCATCCCTACAGCATACATATCATGTAATTAATCTCCCTTTAAATCCCATTAATTATTTAATTTTTAATTATCACCTAAAAAGTTAATACTAGTATTCTTCTAACAACTACTACATTGCATATATACCTTTCAGTTCAGGGTCTGCAATTTTCCTCTTTAATTACATAAAACATATTTATAGTTTTAAAAGAAAAAATAATCTATTCAATTCATCATAAAAACTGATATTATTCTCCTAGTCGCAATTTCTATATTTCATTTCAGCTGTATTTTATAAATTCGTTAAACATAGTTAATAAACTTATCATAGTTTCTCCTTTTTCACAATTATTTCACATTTAACTCTGTGTATAATTCCATAAAGAAGCAAACATTACAGTAACAGAACAATATCAGTTCCAATCTCTCATTTTAGTAATCTGTATTTCACTATTTTTAATTAATTTATTACTTTTAATTCATTTATATTACACCTCATCAATTTGCAGAATCCCCTTTGTTAATTCTTAATTTATCTCTATGTCTTTTAAACAAACAATTTCTTTTTATTTTTGTTCTATTTCCATATTTCTTTATTTCCTGGTCCTTTTTCTTATTGTCTCTTTTCCCCTTCATCCTCTTCTTTTTTAAACTCCAATTTTTGTCCTTCTCCCTTTTTAAAACTCCCTTCTGCAATTCTCTTTTCTGCTGCTTCCTTTTACTTTGTTTGGTTTTCAAAATAAACCCCTTTTTAATTACCATTTCAAACTTTAACTTTCGTTGTTTTAAATGTTCATTAAAGATGGCCTTATCAGCTTCTCTTCTTCTGGCATTCCTCGTTGTTCTTTATGCTCTATGATCGCCATTTCTAAAAATTGTAAGGTCGGGCAAAGCAGTTTGCCTTCTTCTTTTGTCTTCTTTCATGTTTCTAAGTTGTAGTTTTAGTTCCAAGAGCAATTCTGCCATTTTTCCAGTTTTATTCAGTAACTTGATTCAACCAATATCTACAAAGTTTATTTCCAATGATCAGCATTTATTAATTTCTCTTTTAGGTTTTCCAAATTCATCTCATAGTTCAGTATCCATAGATTAAAGTTTGAACCAAGATAACCAAACAATCCCAAAATAGTAAGTTCCATGCTTTTTTCTTTGTCTTAATGTTCAATATTCCACTTTCATTTTCCAGGGTCTCTATTTTATTGTATCCTAATTTCAGTTATTTTATATCTAATAAGTCCTTGAAGGCATCAGTCTTTTAAAAAGAAAAAAAGAAAAAAGGGAAACAAGCAATTCCTTTTGCTACTAAATGGCACTCTCCATTATGTCTAACATCAATTCTTTTTCTTTCTCACTTTTTTTCTCTAGTACAGGCTTTTAAAGTTCAAAAGTTCCAATAAGTCCAAGTATCAATTTTTTATTTTTTCCCCTTGACACATTCCCCTTGACACATTAAAGCCAAGTATGGCTTTAATTATGTCTGTTTAGTGACAGACTTATAAATTTATCCCATATAAGCAAGAATCTTCTTCCAGTTTCTTCCTTTTAAGGTTCAAAGCCACTTAAGCTGTCAAAAATTCCTTTCTTCACTTCTTTATTCACCACTTCAATTAAGTCTCTTAAATTTTTTTTTGATTTAATTCCAGGGTACCTTTTATTTAAAAATTGTGGCTAAGTCTCCTGATTTCTGTGCCGTCCTCTTCTTCACCGTTCCTGCACAATCTTATCCCGGTCAGCTCACCTCTTCAGGGTGGCAGCCATCTTTGAAGGGGAGTATTGCCAAGCCAAGGAGGGGAGATGTGGCTCCCCTCGACCCAGATGGCAGTCTCCCCCTTCTTCACCACTTCTGTAGGGTGGCTCCAGACCCAAATCAGGATGATCGGGGCCCTCCGTTGGGAGAGCATGAACCAAAACCATGGACAATTGCAGATTTCGGTTCGTCAGCGAAGGAGTCCAGCCGGAAATCTGGCCTACAGAATCTCTGATGGTCAAAGAAAGAATTGAGGTCCAGGCATTAGAAGTAAAATACTTCAAATTCTTTTGAAGGTGAAACAGCAAAAACCAGAATTCACAAAGCTTGATCCATAGATTTACAACAGCAGTGTGGTGTCTTCTCTATCATCAATGGGAATACCATGGGAATCTGCAGTTTTACACTTGCCTTACACTTTTCTTAACAGGAAATAAAACTGTACAGATTCTTAAAAGCCAGGAAAAATAGTTTTGCACAGTTGCAGTCAGTGTAGCTTGGTAGACTGTTAAACATGAAAGAGAAAAAAACATAATAAATAAACATAAACACAGTCGTGCTTAATCAGAGATGCCTTGAAGAGCTTCAACCAAGTAAGAGCTCAATTTTCTATTTGTAAGAATTTTCACTACTTTCATTGTCACAGCAGGTGGGAGTGCATGGCAATTTTGTGCACATTCAACAGCAGCGTATCAATTAGGCATAGTTACTCCTATAAGGGAATTCATCTAGAGAATGTCAGGGCTGCAATCTAGATCAGAAAGTCTAGAAACATTCCAGAATTAGACAGTGGCAAGCCAGTTCCACCTCAATATCAAGAAAATTAAATGGACATGTCCATAAACTCTTTTAGAATTAACTTTATGTAAAAAAGGACTTCTCATTACCTTCCCTAAAGAAATTTTATGGTGGTTGTGAAAATAATTACTGCAACACATTTTATAAGTCTGTATGTAAAAAGGCATTCAAAATAACAACAAAGTTGTTATTTATCTAAAGAATGACCAGTATGTCTAAAGATGTTTCTGCCTGTAAGGAATGCTATACAGCTGTCTATAATGGTAAATTGTGAGAAAATACTTTGCAGTCCAATTAAGCGGTTCAGCAAGTGAAGTTGCATTAGTGAACATAAAATGTTTAAATCAATAATTTGGCCAGGTGCTAAATGGGAAGCAATCTTTAAACATTGCCACAGTTTACTGATCTATGTTAATTATGTGTGGAATCAGATGCTGAACTGAAAATTTAAAAACCACTTACTATTTTAAGGCTAAATAACTTTAGATTATTCTACATGTGTGAGATAGCAAGGGATGGCAGCAGGCTCTTTTGTAATAGCTCATAACTTATTTGATATTAGTTGCATGCTTCTTTGAACTTTTGAAGGAAACTTAATCTGAGAATTTCCAGACATGTCCTGGTAGCAACATATTCTTTACCTCCATACGTTAAGTTCATTTCACCTGGACACCTCTTGTCAGTAAGCTCTTTGGAAAATAAATACCTGTTCATTGTAAAATATAGCTTTACACTGGGTGATTGTTGTTAACTCAACTCTTGTTGTTCCTACTTCTATTGAAATTACTAGCAATAGACGCTACATGAAGGTGTCTCATGGCTATTTGCTTCCCAGGAATATTTAAGAAGGAATATTTTGGGCAAGAAGGATTACCTCCTTTCCATGTAAATCCTAGGAAGATCAACCCTAGATGTTCTATTTCTTACCTCTCCCTGCAATCTTAAACGGTTTTTATAGTTACATCCAAAGGGGAATTCTGCATCAGTAATGAAAACCGCTTCAAGTTTTTCTGATCTCACAGAATTAGCAATATTGGAGAACTAAACTGATATCTGGTGTATTCAAATTGCTGCTGCAGTGAGCATTTCTTGTTCTACGTTTTGAAACTTTGCTAGTCCACAGAGTTTGGATTGAGTTTGTTTCCCCACTGAAGGAAACCTCTAACTCACTGTTACCTCCTTACCAAATGCACCAAATGCACATAATGAAGCTAGAAGGGTAACATCAATATTACTATCCTCTTCTGCAGAGTAGAGGAGAAATTTTTATTTTTACTTTTCTTCTAACGGGTTTTGTTGCAACTAGGGTTGGAAAAATCATTATTGGCTTCTTGCATCTATCTCTGCAAGGTTCATAACTATAGAGAGGATTGAAAATCAGGTTCAAACAAATGCTGAGGAAGCATGGGAGGGACTTGGTCTGCATCTTCCTTTAAAGGCAGAATATCAACCAGCAAAAAAATTTACTTATTCACAGCTCTACAGTATAACACAGAAAGTTTGAGCCTATTTTACATTTCTGCATCAACTGCGAAAGTCTCAATCAGCTTAATTACAAATCTGAAATGTTAGCATCTAGAATTTTCTAAAATCTATATGTCTTCAACTTGTACTGATACATGATGCCAATGAATTTAACTTTATATTTAAAAGATTACTTACCAGTGCTGGATTGATGTTCATATCTGTAAATACTATATACTGTCCTGGATTCCAAAGATGTGAAACAAAATGAGGAGATATAAAGCAATCCAAACCATGAATGCGATGGAGCTGAACAATTCATTCATAAATGCTTTCAGATTGTGTTGGTTTGAGCAAGATAAATAGAAATGAAGGTATGATTTGGATACCTTTCACATGCAAGCCCAGGTCTTGTATAACTGTTATTTATTAGCCCAAATGAGTCCATCCTGGAGAAGAATAGCTTTATATACTATATTCAAAGTTAGTTTCTTTTGTCCTTTATTCCCATAGTATTTATTGTACACAGGAGCTTCTGTTAATTCACAAATACAAAATTCTAATTTCACTCCAGTCCAAGGCCCCTTTATCTGGTAGGGGCACATTCTTAGGCCATTGGAATTAATGGAGAGCATCCTATTCATTATAGAGGAGCAGGCATTTATACAAAACTTGTGCTGGTTTTTTTTTTATCTTGCTCCATAAATAGTTGTCAAAGACCTAATTAACCTAATTGAATATATGAGTGGGAGTTAGGTTAGAGTGTTTGAAACATGGTACAGTTTAATTTGTGTTTAAGGATGTGCTAAAGATAAGCTCGCTCAAATCATAGCTTTGCCATTTGTGAAGGAGTTGGTGCACTCAAGATGGGAGCTCAAATCATAGCTTTGCCATTTGTGAAGGAGTTGGTGCACTCAAGATGGGAGATTTTAAGCACTTTGGAGACTTGCAATAGGGTGTCATTGCACTTGGGAGGTTGTAAGCACTTGGGAGTTTTATAGCAAACAA